AATAAAATTTTTAAAAAAATTTAGTCTCAATGAAAAATTAGTTAAAACCAGAAGATGTAATGTTTATCTATTGACTTATCTTCTCCTGAAATTAGCATTTACTAATGGTATTTCCCGTTGCTACAACAACCGTAGAAAGAAATTTTTCTCCTATAAAGTTTGTGAAAAATTATTTAGTGGCTTATATTAAAAAAAATATATTCAAAAGTATTGATAATGAGTTGATTGTTTGACGATTCCAAAACATAAAATCATGTTGAGAAAATTTACAAGGTATGTATGATTATTAAATAATTTTTTAATTATTTTTTAATTACTAATGTGTAAATGAATTTGCCTTGGGGCTCAAGATCTTGATTTCATCATTGTATGCATATTAAATATTTTGTTTATATTATTATAGATGTGTGCATGTGTGCATTATAAAATGCATGTTCGGATAGGTGATCATATAAAAAGGAAAATTTTCAGTCCAAACCTTTTAACCAAGTGTAATAAAAAAGAGATCCCTTTAAAATGTGAAATTTCATTGTAGATCAAGGACAATGACATGAAATTAAAATATAAACTACAATTACCTCATTGTCTCTAATGATTTAAGTTTGTTAAAAGACACTTGTAAATTTTTTATATTGAAATTGTTCTTTTTCTCATGTTCAAATGGTTAATTTTCCTATTGAAGTTGTTTGTATATATAGCTTTATTTGATTTTATTCTAATTAGTGTTCTTATCATGGCAAAAAAAGTTGTAAATTTCCAACATTGTAGTTGTTTATTGCTTATATTGAAGTGATTATTTTTTAGAGTCGATAATTTGAACGGGCCGGGCTTATTGGGCTGGACTTAATTTGAGCTAAATTTACTTGGATTGGGCTTAAAGTATCATATCCTTTTTAAAAAGTCCATATAGCCAAATCTGACCTTAGCACCTTCGGGCTTCAAGCTTATTCGAGCCCGCCTAATTACCCAAAACTTTTTAAAAATATTTTTTCTTTATTTTTAAATTGATTTTAATTTTTAAATAATTTTGTTAAGCATAAAATATTATATTAAATTTAAAAGAATAAAATAAGAAAATGATAACTTATTAACTTTATACTTAAGTAGTTGTGTTACTATTTTATTGTATTATGTGTAATTTATTCATGAATGTTTTATTTACTTGTAAATTAATGTTTTAGTTATTTAAATATTTCTCTTCTCATTATCATATATAAATATTTTATATATTTTAATTATGATTAAGTTAATTTTAATTCAATCATGGTTAGACCACTAATTTAAAATCATTGCCCTTAGTTCAAAATTTTTAATAACTTTTGGGTAAACTTTATTTTTATTTTTAAGAATATGAGAAAAATAGCCATTATTATATTATATAAAAAATTTAATTATGAGTAAACTACTATTTTTTTGAAGTTTTTTTCTTTAACTTTTTATATTGTTTAAGCCCTACATATAAGAAATATTTACTCTAATTTATTCTTAATTTTTAACTAAGTCTGATGTGGACGATAATTAAAATAAAATTCTATTTAAAAATTGGAGACATGGGGTATTACAAAGTCCACCTTTTCCTTTAAAACAACCTTTGAGGTATCCAAATGCCTAACCCAAGTACTAATAGCTCAAGGAACATCAAACCAACTCATATATGTCAAAACTCACGTAATGCAATAGTCACATACTCAACCAAACATGTCAATCACAAAATGGCCACTAAATCCCTCTTAGTATCAATAATGAGGTACAATAGAAATACTCTGTAATATCACAATGGCCACCAACAAGTACATATTCAAAATATTACTCATACACTTGTACTAGTATTTTGGCTTCCCACAACAAATATCACTTCACATATACAACATTTTAGGCTGAAATACACAAAATGGCATAATCAACCTCATTCAAGTTCAACCAAATGAGTGCTTGTCCTAAGTTGGCAATGGCATATGTGTGTGTGTGTGTGTGTGTATATATATATATATATTGAATTACACATTAAAATAAATAGTGCATTACAACAAGTAGCTCTTCTACTCTTTGCTTGCATCGCTCTTTCCTTTGATTTTAAAGGAGCCTTCACCTGTAACATAGTAACCATGAGAGTGAGAACAATATCTCAATAACTAAATAATCTATTAATCTATCTACAAGTAAGTTAAGAAAGAAATGAGCATGTAAAGTGAGTAAGTTAAACACACAAACAATCATGAAATGCAACAAGGCGTGTTTTAACTTATACCACACATGATTAATCACACCCACCTTATATCATTCGCTTTAACTTTGAATGAATCTATGGGCTAACAATTTAACAAGACAGAGTCTATGTGACTAAACTGGCTCAAGTTCACTAATTATGGGATGTAGCCTGGCCGAATGTACCTTTGCTACAAATTCTTCCTTTACAAATACTCAAGGTGTTATATGCCCAATCTACCTTATATGGTGGTATTGAGACTTTTAAACAAGAAATATTGACATTGGGGCCATCCATTGTGTTAGTAGGAACCATATGGATTTATAATACTATTTCTTCCTAGGTTGAACTCTCACCCTTACAACTTAATCATGCGTTCACAATAATGCAACATCACAAATATTTTTCTCAACATAATCACAATCTTATTCAAAACCACATACTGAAAATTGCTATCAATACTACAAATATTGAAAGCTATTTTCGCAACTGTTTATGTGTAAACATTATATGTCCAAATGCTTTCAAACCACTCCCACTTCATATGAATTTTTGAGAAATCAAGAACGTTATCTTATAATTAATATATGCATATTAAAATAAATAATTTAACATTCCAAGAGTCTCACAACCATCTAAATAAGAAAGTAAAAGGATTAGATTATCAAGTTACCTCAACTTTTTAGTCACAAAAAAAGATTACCCATGGCAAAATAATGACTTTTCTAGCCTCCAATAGCTTAAAAGGGTCCAAAAAATAATTAATCTAGACGATTAAACACTAATAATTAATTTACAACTCTAATATACACATTTTTAGACTAAGTTACCCATGCTCTCCAAATTTTATCATTAGCTTAACCAAATCTTGAACAATCTTTTATTAGCTCCATTTATCTTTTATAAATCAAACGACACTAAATTATGGTCTACATTACTCCAAGCTTTCAATTTAAGCTTAGGGTTCGTCTAAACCCTAGCCCCAAACTATAAATGATCATATAATCACGAAACCTAGCTATAGAAACTTAAATAAACTCTCATTAGCTTAAATAAATCCATTGGGTTCGATCAAAACCCTTTAAAGGATGAAAGATGAAATTCCCAACTCCCAAACTTTAGAAAATTCACATAGGAGGGAAGGAGGAGGGATTAGGAAGATTACCCAAGTATGTAACTAGCTTAAAATTAACCCCCATCTTTTTTATTTTTTATTTTACTACAGACTCCCCTACTACCATTTTTCAGTTATTTTACAAGCAGAAGTTGCTATATCATATTTAAATAAAGACATGTAGCAACTTATGTGGCATTCGATATAAGCTAATAATAGAAAAATATGGATAAACTTTTTATAAAACTATTATCAACTTTCATTGGATCCCACATAAGTTGTTATGTGTATTTTTTTAATATGACATGACAACTTTTGTAAATAAGATAATTGAAAAAATAATAGTAGGGAAGTATGTGGTAAAAAAAGGTTAGGGAGGTTAATTTTAAACTTTTAAAGGGCAACTGCCTTAAAATTTATGAGAGTTTTATATATTTTAGTAATATATTTTTAGATATGTAAACTTCACTCTCAAATAATGCATGTTTCTATGTTTAAAACTACTTTTAAAATCTTTGCAATAATCATGTACTTGGGAGAGCAATCTTGCTATTGAATTAAAATGATCAAACTTAGAAAAAATCACAAATGATATTTTTAATAACAATGATTAAAAAATATTTTCATAATGAAAAAAATTGTTTTGGAGATAAATATAAAAATAGACAAAGATCATGGCGAAAAAGAAAAAGGAAAATCAAACCTCAAGTATTCAAAACACATTTATTTACTAAAATGCTACCCATTGAAAAATACTATGAATTGGAACTTCGTTTGACCGAGCTCCAATTTTTTTAGGGAGCCATCAGCTAGCATATAATGAAAATTTTATAAATTTTAAATAATTGTAAAGTTAAAAATAAAATATAAATTATAAATAAATATGAATGATGTTTATGTTTTTTTCATGAAATTCAAAATAGAATGTTTTATTGAACAAATTCTCTTCAAGAATTATACAAGGCTTCAATCAACATTATCCATTTCTAAAAAAATTACGGGATGAAAACATGAGAATGCCTTGAAGATGACATATGTTACTCATTACTATTACTATTATTATTATTATTTTGTAAGATACAAGGGCAAGTTTAGAGCTTGGGGGGATGAAAGAACAAGCGGGACTAAAACGCCCAGTTAACGACACAACATGAATCTAGGCGATATAATGTTTTAATTAATTTCTCTTGTAATGATTCTAGTGCTTATGTTAAAGAAATTATTAGATTAGGCTTATTACTTAGTTATGATTCTTTTGGAGCCTTTGAACTTATCAACCCTCACACATGCATTATGGAGAGGGTGTTTGGACAAAGGCATAACTCTTTTTTGTTTGATACTTTCTGGACGGAATTGATTTGTAAGAGCTTCTTTCCAGGAGGAATGGTTGGCGACTAAACCATTTCGTCTTCCTACTCATTAAGGTGTCTTATGTGCTATGCAACCGAGTTCAGCTTGGTGCTTAGGACTGACTTAGCATAAATTTGGACCATCCAGATTTAAAGCTAACAAATGGTTCCCACTAATTAGCATTTAGCAGAAAAGGGAGATCAAACCCGCCTGTATTGTTTCTGGATCAACATCTCGAAAACTTAGATTAGGGTTTTGAGTTACTTCGTTGGATTCTATTTAACTTCCTTAGCCCGTTGCCCTATAAACAATCTTCTTGTGCGACTCACAATGGGACCATCATTTGTGTCTTTTTCACGCTCTGACCGCCGAGAGATCGAGCGTGCAGAGGCGAGATTGCCGGAGATCATAAATTTCCGTCGCTGTCACATCTCCTCCCAACCTTACAAAGGCAAAAGAATAACCCTTATACTTAACGTAACAGCTGAAACAGCTGTTATAATCCAAACCTTCACTCTTCTCGGCGCAAGTGTTCGTGTTTGTTCATCAGGTAGCTGGTCCATCATAAGGGACGATATTGTAGTTGCAATCACCTGTAAGGGCATTCCCATCTTTGCTAAACAAGACCAGACTCTTGAAGAGCACAGACTCTTTATGAACCTTGCACGAGATTGGGGTTCTTATTCTCCTGATGTGATCATCTGCGACAGGCTTCTGGATTTTGAGCATGATATCATTGAAAATTTTACTCTTAGGAACGAGAACAAGTGGATTGTAACTGATTTTGAGTTCTTGTACTCATTGGCACTCGCAGCATGCAATTCGTCCCACGCTATCAATGGAAGAGGTCTCAATTATGACCCTGAGGTAACTCTTTCAACTCAAATGTGCCATTTTCCCTTTATTGGTGAACCTAATAAATAAGATTTAATCAGTTTGCTACCCAATTTAACCACCTAGGTTAAATAATGTCTGTGTTGTTCTATCTACTCGCTTACAGGTCCCTCAGTTGCACAGCCATCGCTACTCCTTGCCTGGGCTTTTGAAGAGAGCCACCAAGGGCAATGTTGCGGGGAAGAAAGTTGCCCTTTTGGGTTATAGTGACGCCGGAAAGGAATGTGCTGCTGTCCTGATGAATGCCGGAGCTAATGTGGCAGTGGTCTAGGATGGTTACATCTATTTTTGGGATTTGAGGCCGCCGGTTCAGATCGCCCATCATGAAAATGCTTTCTCCGACTTTGACATCGTTGTTTACTCCGGTGTTGGCCACGGCGGCAATGACCTTGTTATCAAGGTTGACTATATGAAGTGTATGAAAAACGGTACAATCGTGTGCAACATAGGTGGCTTCGCCGGCAAAGGAATCGACATGCGAGGACTTCAAGATTATCCTGGTGTGGAGTGCCTCAGCGAGGACCAGGAAATGGAAAAGTGGGTCTTTCTAGATCATGGAACTAGCATCATCGTATTAGCCCAAGGACGACCCATGGAGTTGTTTTGTGCCCCACAAAGCATACAGACCATGAAGCATTACATCTCAAAGATATGGGTTCTTCTTCATCTTCTATTGCCTCGCACGATTTTACATTCACTGAATGGATTTCATGAACCCTTTCTTTTTATTTTCCTTAAAAGTGTATGTGTGTGGATTTTGGAGCTTTGCCGATGTAGAACTCCTCTCTTTTCACTTAATTAGCATGCTTTGTTATACATGTGTGGAGATAAAGCCTTTCATCTTTTCTCATTTTGACAGAAATAAATTATTTTTATTTATTACTTTATTTGTTTTCATTTCATGAATTGTTGGAGGGTATCTAAACCCTTATCTTTGACTGAAATTTGTAATTTAATTAGCAGTTCCATGTTTGTCATCGTGTTTGGTTTGGGTTTTCATCAATTGATGAGCATATGGGACAGACTATATTTAGAGGTTGTTTGAACCAAAACTAGAGTTCCAAGCCTAATTACAAAAGATCGTAAAGCCTAAACTAGAGAGGGTGGAACTCGGCCCAATTATGGTTTAGTTGAGTGGGGATAAATGAGACGGTGCATTTAAGGGGAGGTTTGATAGAGTCACATTCATTCCTCCTACTATCTAAGATTCTTGGTGCTCTAGCACTAACTGGCCACTTTGCAAAATGGAACTCCCTTTACTACAACATTTTTAACCTCTAGAAGCACTTTGGTTTGCAATAGTTCTAAAAGTACCGTTGCTTAATGTATGAATAACCAACAATTTTTGTGTGTTGTTATTGATTTTCACTTTAAGCAACAATTATTTGGCTACAGTTTAAAACTGTACTCTAAATTAGGCAACATAAAGATTGTTGCTCATGAAACTTTTTTTATTACAACATTTAAAAACTGTCTCCTATTTCAATAGGCAACAAAAAAAAAAATGTTGCTTTTTGCAATGGTTAAGAGTTATTGCCTATTGTTTACCTTTATATAAAAAACTATTTACTTTCATTTTTTTTATCCATTTTTAACATATTTTTATAACTTTATTTATTATTGAATTAATTTAATATTTTACTTATTAAATTAGTTCAAAGATTATTTTAAAAATTATCTCTATATGTGATATTTTGTAATAGATAATATAATAATAATAATGATAAAAGAGTGGTAAGAGGCTAGACTTATATTCAAGAGGTTGAAAGTTTAAATCTTAGGTAGGAGAAGAAATATTAAATTTTGTCTATTTTAAGTTTACGCAATAATTCTCAACTGTTGCCTATTCTAAAAGAAAGGCAATAATACAAAATTTTTGTAATAAATTGATGTGAAAACTGTTGCCTATATTGTCATACTCTAAGACAATACTTTTTGTTAAGTATTGCCTAAAATTTAAAAAACTATTGCCCAAGACAACAGGTAATGCTGAAATATGCAATAGTTAAAAAATATTACCACAAGTCAAAGACAACAATTTTTATAGTTATAACAACAATCTAGACCAAGGTCTGAGTATTAAACTATAAACTAGTATCTCAATTAGTTTAATAGTCAGTTCGATTTTTATAACATTGGTTCCAACTAATTAATCCAAATTCAAGTTGAGTCAAGCTCTAAATGGAAGGTATCTCTTCCAAGAACATCATCTTTGTTGGAATTTACTGATAGGCCCTTGATGGAAAGAGGGTCATTACATCAGAGCAATCGGTGAAAATCTAACATATTCCAGATTAATTGTAGTTGAATGAAAATCACTAATTAATGAGAAGTAATTCCTGATTGGTTCAAAAAAAAAAGTCTTTCCCCGCATTCATTGTGATTATTCTATCACATTAATTCCCTCCACTTTGGGACAAATTATGATGATCAGATTTTTCTTTTTTGTGATAGCCTCCCAACACTAATAAATAGTGGTGGGTGGCTGAAAGAAGAACTTGTCCAAAGCAAGCGCCTCTCTCTCAGTATTCGCTCCTTCTCTCCCCCATTTCTCTTTTTGATATATCTGTTGTGCATTTTAGAAATGACTCTAGCAATCCAATCTTGTGTGGATAATGCTCAGATTCGGTAAGACTCTAATTCAACTCCATTTTATGGCATATTATTTTACTTATAATTATAATATTCCTTCAATCTCCATTCTCATCGCTTTTGGGATTGAGCCTAGGAGTTGATAGTTAAGGAATTCAAATCTTTTTCATCCGACTCAACATGTGTCGGTTGAAATAATTTTTTTTAATAAAAAAAGACAAACATAATGGAACAGATAAATATCTCAGAGAGAAGCAACTTATTTATAAGTTTTTTTAAAAAAAGATTTTAAAAGGGGAATTGAATGTTGGAGTAAATAGGAATGGTTATGGAAGAAAGTAAATGAAAAGTTGAAAACTTAATTGTTCCTAGTGGAAAAACAGAAACCAACTCATTAATGTGCACATATGCCATTCTTCGTATAAACTCCAACGCACTTTTACTTCCTTTCTTATTCATTCCTATTTTTGTTTCCTTGGCCAAGCTAATCCATTCCTATTCACCTCTATATGAACTCTCTTGATGCTATCTAGGGGTGAGTATTGTTTAGTTCAGTGCCAAAATATACACAACCAATCAACTGAATAAAACTAATAATATGAATCAAATTAAACCGAACTAGGTAATCAAACTGAACAAGGATTGAACTAAAATTTAACAATTCAGTTAAGTTGATTAATTCAATTTTTGTACTTCATATTGGACTGCTTAGACAATTGGACATATGTTGCTTTTTTTTTTTTAACTAAAGAATCGGATTCATATCATATATAATGAAAAAGAACATACAAACAAGGCTCATATATTTTTAACTTTTTAAATTAAAAAAGAAAAAATATATTAAAATAAAGTAATAAACTTTATATATAAATTAATAAGTTTGTGTATATATATTTGAATGATAATTCAATCAGTTCAATCTATTTCATTTTAAACTTTGCAAACCTAACTGAACAAATCAATCAATTTTTTGTTTTTAAAAAGAATCTAAGAACCGAATAATTGAACTTGATTTGATTCAGTTCAATTTTTGGTTTCTGTTTAGTTTTGCTCACTCCTAATTACTAACAATCTTTTACTAAGGGTTTGTTCAGCTGACCACCCACTAAGAGGAGATTTCAGAGATAAGAGGATTCCTACCAGTGGGATGTTAGAATTGTTCTCTCACCAATAACTACCATTAGATGTGCTGACTATTTAGCACGCCATGCTCACTCCATGGGGCGTGAACAACTTTTCTGGGATGATAGGAAATCACTGCCTAATGATTATCTATTTTTAGGCTCTAGCTTTGTCCTAGATTTTTGTTGTTCTGTTTCATTATTTCAAGCTGTTGCTTGCTTTTGCATTGCAAAATATATATACATACACAGATATTTTTAACCACCTATTTGTTGCGTAGAAATATTTCAAAATAATTAACAATAAATAAAATAATTACATTGGTTAAAAATTATGCAAATTTTACTTCACTTTTATAAATTACGCGTAGACACGTAGTAGTACTTTTCACTTTTTTTCACATGCATCAAATGCAGAAGTATTGAGAAAATGCCAAAAAAAAAAATCAAATTTACTTCATTTTATTAGTATTTAATCAATGTTACAATAAATCAATTAAATTGAAAAAAAACCTTAAATGTACTTTATCATTTTATCGCTTAGTTTATAAATTATTCATTAGAAAATACAATATTTTATATTTATTCAAAAATTACTATATATATCACGATTCACATGCATCCAATTGAATATTATTTATTTCTCTATGTGTGTATGTATAGTTAAATCTTCAGTTTAGTATTATAAAACAATTTTCTAAAGTATCATGTTAAAAAATATTAGACATTTTTATGTCTATCAAAGTATAATTAATAAAGATAATTTCAGAAAAACCTTTAATTAGAGGAGTAATTAATCAAGTATTTTCCTTTGGCAAAAAAAAAAAAGGTATTTTAGTTGAAACACTACTCTTTTTTTAAAAAAAATATAAGATATTTTTAATTAAATCACAACTTTCAATAAAGTAGTTAGTTATCTTCTAACTAATATTATCTTTTTATATTTTACCCCTATTTAATATGGTGTTTTACATTAAAATAAATAAAAAGTAACTTATTTATTAGGGGCACTTTTGGTTAAAGCACATTAATTATACCTTAAAATACTAAAAATGTTTTGTATTTTTAAATATGTAAACCTTTAAAAAATATCTTATATTTTTTAATGGAGTGAGTATTTTAAATGAAGATAAACATGCAAAAGATGTATAAGTTTACAAATAATTAACTTATTAAAAAAATAATTTAATTAAAAATATCTTATACTGCACCGTTCAAAAATATCACTAGTGCAAACACTAATTTCCACGATAGTTAAAATTAATTTTTCGCGATACAATATGAAATGCAGTAGAAATAACTGTAATGATAATAATAATAATTTATTTTCACTGCAATCGGTCACGGAACTGTAGCCATGATAGGTCAATTACAACGACAGCTGTGATAAACAACTCTGGCCATAATTGCCTCGTTTTTTTTTCTTTTTTTATTTAAAAAACACATTTTGTTCTCTAAGTTCTAGAATGCAACAGAATTTTTTTAGATCCCCAAAAGCCAATGGTTAAGATCGCTCTCCATGAATTTGAGTATTCTTTATAATATACACTTTTCGTTTTAAATTATAAAAAAACTTAAAAACAAATTTATTATTCTAAAATATAAGACATTTTAAAAAAAATAAAATTTTATTTATGAGATTTTTTTAATATTACCCTTCAAATGAAGAGAGAATTGAAATCATATTACAGCGTAATGATTAAATGTGTGGAGATATTTTTGAAAATTCACGTACAGTTTTCTTTTGAGAAAGCAAGTTTATCAAGTTTCATTATCATGTTTCATTGGTATGCAGAATCTTGTACTAGTTTGTTTTATAATTCGGGACAGAAGAAGTATAATACAATAACTAGCAAACATCAGATCATTATAACATTGAATAAACGTTTAGAAATGAGCAACCTTGTGACCATATCCCATCACGTTAGATAAGCAATTAAGAAAGACCAACAAAGCGAAAAGAGAAGTTAAAAACTGAGATACTTTCAGACTATTTTCTGTGTAATAGAACAACTGAAATTATATGCACTCACCGTGTAAATGTTCAAAGAGTATTCCATTGGGCGCATATTCAAAAACGAACCACCATTCTGGTGAAAGGCTCCTCTTCCTCGCAATATCAAATCAAAGAGTGTTCCATTGTGATTCACTTTTGATAACAAATCAATCTGAAACCATGATTACATTAGGATTAAGAGTAAGCTAAATTTTAGAAGGCAGCAGATAATCAAATGATCTTGTTAATATTTTTGATATGGTACCTTTTTCCTGAACTGTACTTCTAAAGTCTTTGACCAATCCTTCAATGATGTTCCACTAACAGATGCTACAACAATTTCAAAATGATGGCAAACAATATTTCAAATCATTAATTCAATTTTTATTTTTTATTTTTTTAAGTAACGCAAATCTAATACATTTACTATTTGAGGAGTTACAAAGGTAATGCACGCGTCATTCCTTAATAAACAGTTATATTGCATAACATTTACTATTTGGAATGGAAGAAGTATATCTAACTTGCGTAGAATTCAGACATATAACAAGCAGTAGAAAAGTTTATTACTTGAAAATACAGTTGCTCCAGCGCTCCAGCATGTCTCCAAGATTCACTATAAATACCCTGGCAATGACAATCACAGCAAGCAATTATTCTTTCAGTTTCAGAAATGAAAACAAAAAAGGGACAATCAGTTTCGGAATAAAAGATATTCTGGAAAAGGATACCAGGAAGCAAATGCTTTTTCATGCGTGTTTTTTCCAGTGAAAATTTGAGAGAAATTCAGGTTTGCTAAATGTATTAATTAAAAGCATTCATATATATATTGTAAAGAATGAGAAAAATAAAATTAACTTGATATGTGCCGAATAGACACAATATATTCATTTAATCTACCTCAGAATATTGCATTGTGACCTCCATGCAGGTACGGAGGTACTTGAACTCCGAACAAAACCCGAGTACTTTTACAGAAATGGATGGGAGTTGATTCGGAACAACAGAGACGATTTGGTGTCAATCATTCGAGTGGCTTCTCGGCTTTTCGAAGCTTCCAATGTGAACCAGAGACGCTGCTTTGGCTCTCTCGAATGGTTCACTGTTTATGGGACCATCAACAATCTTAGAAGACCTTTCGAGAACCAAGGGAAGAGGAAGTCCGTAATCGACACAGCTGTTTTGGACTTCACTGTCGACGGAGGTGAGTCGTCCGGTGACAGGGGTAGGTGCCGCTTTACCGGCGGCGAAGGAATAAATATCCCCAAGCAAAGGTTACTGTCGGGCTGGTATGAGAGCTGATGGAGAGTCTTGAGCAGGGCTGAGGGCTGAGGGCGGAGGGCGTGGGGAGAACGAGAGCCGAAGGTGTGATAAAAGAAAGGCGTCGCCATAATGGACCGCACTTCTATTTTTGGTTAATGAGCAGATACATTATGGTGACAGGTGCTGTACACACCAATGCATTATTGCGATAGGCTCCTATTTCCATAATATATAATTTTACCTCATATTTATTAATTTATATTCTTGTAAATGTGAATTTATCATAAATTAGAATTGAAGGTAAAAAGAAAAAATAATAGAGAAAATTGCCATAAAATCCCTTCTCCCGTGATTGTTTTGAGGGAATAAGACCAATTCACTATAAGAAAAATAGTTAATTAGTGATAAAAAATTTTATTGTTAATTAGTAAAAATTGTCACTGAACGAATTAGCAACGGAATATTTCGTTAGTAAAAATACCATCACTAATTCATTAGCGACGAAATTTGTAATTCCGTCGCTAATTAGTGACGGAGTAGCATTCTGTCGCTAATTTTTGATAGAATAGTGATAGAAATTTTGCATCACTAAATAAGGATAAAGTTATTCTGACTTTGTGATGGAATGCATTCTGTCGCTAATCTATCACTAATTTTCCAATAGGCTTATTCCATCGCAAATTTATTAGGTGGACCAAAATATCATTGCCATGTTACCCGATGGACTAATGCTACCTCACGACTACCTAGTCACTTAGTGGATCAGTGCCATCTCATTGCCATGTCACCACCACGCCTTAGTAACCCAATGCCACCTCATCGCCACGTCACTGCCACATCATTTATCATTGCCATGTCAAATATTATTACCTTCAATTGTGCCTTGGCTAGGTTTGAACTTGCAACCTCATATTCTCTTGTGCCTTTGTGTCCACCTTGTTGAGTTGAAAGGAATCTTCAGTCTTAATTGATAAATTAAATATATAATACTTAAACACACACACATATATTAATAAATATATTATTTAAATTATTATTAAATATAATATTTAAATTTACTTATTTTTTAACATTATATTTATTTATTAATATGAAAAAATTAATTTATATATAATAATTATATCTATTATATTTTATTTAAAAGATTTATTTTTGATAATAAATTTAATATTAAATTGAAAAAATATTTTATTATCATTATATGTTATATTATAATTTGTATCTATATTATATATAATATTTTAAATTTTTATTTATAATTATTTTTTTATTTTATTTTTAAATAAGAATAATTAAGTATACATTTGAATTATTATTAATAATATAAAAATAATTTTAAATAATAAATTACTTTAAATTATAATTTTTAAATTATTAAATTAATTATATATAAATATATGTTATAAATAATAAAATTAAATTTAAAATAATTTATGATGGAATTAGCGATGAAATTATGACAAAAAGCTTTGTGATGGAATCTTCCGTTGTAAATTTTGTCATTAAATTGGAATAAGATATCCTAATTATTAGTGATGAAATTTTTTATAGATTCCATCGGTAAATTATTTCTGACAGATTAGTGATAGAATAACGATAAAATTTTAGCGATAGAACATTCTGTCGATAAATTTCATTGCTAAATTAGTGACAAATTTATTCCATCGCTAATCTGCTATTTTTTTTTGTAGTGATTTAAGGACCAAATATACACCAAGCTTATCACCTTGTACACCCAGCATGTGACCTTGGATCTCAAGCTTTTCACCTTGCATCCTAAGCCTATTATCTTCCACTCCAAGCACCTTGCACCCCACACCTATGACCTTGCACACTGTAAAGATGTAAATTTCATGAAAATATAACCTATTATCCTGAAAGTGACATTCTGTTCAAGAAAATAATAATATGAACAACAAATTGTTCAGACTACAAGCATGTAAATTATATAGCATTTTTGAAGGCTAACATGTAACTTTGTTGTGCAAGGTCATAGGCTTGGTGTGCAAAGTAATAGGTGCAGGTGCAAGATTATAGGCTTGAGATGCAAGGTGATAGGTTTGGAGTGCAAAGTGATAAACTTGGAGTGCAAGTTCATAGGCTTGGGATGCAAGGTCATATAGGCTTTGAGGTGCAAGGTGATTGGGCATTTGTCCTTAAATTGGTCTTGGTTCCTCTAAACAATTTCCCTTCTAATTAAGGAGAGATAATATGGTAATTTTTCCAAAACAATATATAAATTTTCAATGGAATAAAAGTTTTATTGGTATGCGAGTTATTATTAAAAGCTGCTTATATTTGGATTGGAAGGTGTTTTCAATTTTTTAAAAATAAAAATGCAATTAAACATTAAAATATGAAAAAATAATTTATAATATTAATTAATAAACAATATACATAATTAATTTACATAATACAAAATTTTTATTACATTAGATATTTTAACATTATTAATTTTATTGCAATTTAAACAAGAGTAACATTAAATATAAAAATTAAAATAATTTTTTTAAATTTCATAATATTAAAGAAAATGTATTATGGAAATAACACTCTAAGGTGATTTTCTTCATAAGAACTATAATTTTAATCAATATTTATAAATTTTTCATTTAATCTATTTTCACAGTTATTTGTAGTCACGAAAATTGTATTATTAAAATAGTATTTTGCACTAGTGTATGAAGCATATATATATATATATATATATTTTAGGTTGGATGTTTAAAATATAGTGCACTTTTAATTTCTTTCAATGGGTAATTAAACTATCTTTTTTAAAAAATATTTTTAATAAATAAATCACTCAATTATGATTCACCTTCAAAAAGAGAGACACTTTTAAATAAAAATAAATATAAAAATAATATCAATTTTAAAATAATTAATGTATTGAAAAATATAATTCAATAAAAAATAAATTATAATTTTTAATGGAGGGAGTTCGAGGAGGTGGACGTGAAGATATTATGACAGTTACCGCACCTCCTAATTTTGTAGAAAATATTTTAGTGCAAGATTCACGTGGGTTTAGGGAGCATGTGATTTTTTACTTGCGCTGTGTTCCATCGAAGGAAAATAATTTAATAAAAACCAACGCATATTGAATCATAAATAAGGGGGTCCGATTTCTTTAACTATCAGCTTCTAGGTTCAATCATTGGGGTGATAGAAATGGAGAAAATATTCTTGAAAAAGTTACTCCCCGTTTGAGGCCCAACTCAGCTTGAATTCAGATTAGTCAGAACTGTTGGCTTTAAATACCGAACAGTTTGACATTAGAAAACAAAAATATATTTAACAAAAGAGGGAATATATTATGTGCACACACGCTTGTTTGTGGTGATTTATACCTAGAAAAATGTCACTGGCAAGAAAAGATATGGAAGCTGGTAATTTGTACATCATTAATCACCCATTGAAAAGCTTAGAGATTTATCCCTGGAGAAGCTTGCTCCATGATCTCCGTTTATTGCTCGTTAATGACGCATATTCCATTACAAGAATATATATGTAGTGCTTGATGATAAATAAGCTAAAGACCATAGCACGGATTAAGCATATTTTAGTAGATAAATCCGAAGATTTGAAGTAACTTGGATGATCTTGAGCACATGAATGAGGAAGTATTTTCCTAAGGATTTTCTATTTGTCATCATCAATGGTTAGAATAAATTTATGCTTACAATCATTTAATATAGCATATTTTAATTGGACAGACAATGAGTGACATGGTACACCAAAGTCCATGCAAGAATTTTTGAAATGAGTAATTGCTTATATCAACTTAGTGTTAATGGAATTAATCTGAACTGAGGCATGGCTTATTAATATTAATAGCGTAATAATAAGATATGCCTATTTCTATGATTCTTGGGAAATTTTCTGGCAAGTTAATATGATAACTTTCCAATAATATTAGACACACATAATATGAATGAGTAGAAAAGAACTTCATCTACAATTTGAAAAGCGACAGGCTGTTCAAGCAATAAGTACATATAACCATTAAGTGCCTCAGGGCTTCAAAGTCCCACAAAGTTACTAAAACCATTTAGTTATAGTACCATAATAGAAAGTTAGAAACACACCCACGGGTGACATACACGTGGCGCGATGCCAAAATTATTAGAAAGAAGCTATTATGAGATCCAGGGGACTAAATGTAGTTGTTGGATTATCCATCTTCGGTGGCTGGATCAGCTCCAATATAAATACATCGGGTTTTATCAGAATATAAGAAAGCCTGGGTCCATAAGTGTACTGTTCCCATTGTCATATTGAAACTGACTGTGAACAGTATTCGGGTTGCATGCACGATCAAATAACCACAACGTGTGGTGGGTTATATGTGAAGCCAATTTGGGCATTTCCCAAAACAGACTTCCTTCCTTTGCTCTCTTCTCTCTGAGTGTGCGCATTTGTTGTAAATCCAAACTGAGTTTTTCTCCTGACTCCTTTCCCATGTAGTAGTAATTCATCCGGTATAACCCATAAGGGGCGTTTTCCTCCTCCATAACTCACAGTAGTTAATACCATCTGTGATCACAAAAAATCTTTTTTAAAACATTGGTTGAGCTTAACATGTGATAAAAATCAAAGCTTAAGATACATGAGAAGTACATGGATTAAATAAAAAAGAAATAAATAGAAATGGGGCAAAATTGTATTTTCCCCCTAAAAAGGGGCCATGTGTGGTAGCTAAGTGCCATCTGCAGTGATAGATGATATAAAGGGATTACTTCCTTATTTTGCCATACGCCGCCATGCATTATACAGTTATGACAGCATCCTGGAACCAACTTTTAGCATATTTTATTTCCCGTCTGACATCTGATTGGAGTGGTTCAAGCACTCACATGAATCTTACTCAACTCTAACTAATGGCATTGGTTTTATTCCAAAATGATAACCTATTTGAAAGTTGGATATCCAAATGCAAAATGGTTACTTTTCCAAAATTAACATGCATCTAAGTGCCTTCCTCCCACACCAAATGCCATTAGCTTCCATTGAGACTTGAACCAAGTCAAATGGACTGACATTCACCTAATGAAACATTCACATAGATAATAACACATTATAGATGCAAATTGTAAGCATAAACCCTAATATAAATCACAAAAAGAG